CATTTAAGATATCAGTCCAAGAACGTATCTTGTTTAATTAATGAAAGTAATTTGTAAATTCTGAATTCTGAATTCTGAATTCTAAATTCTGAATTCTGAATTCCAATTCTGAATTCTTAATTCAACAGATCAATAATTTTATTTAACATTGTTAAAATATAAATCATTAATATTAAAAAAGAAGTACATTTATGATGTAATTCTGATGAAAATTTTTTTGAGTTATTTAAACGATATTTTAGATTTTTGATACTTATATTTTTTTTTCTTTGTACGAAACTTTAATTATTCTTTTATCAATGCTTCCATTTAAATTAATTTTATTAATGCAGAATTTTAAATTAATGATTTAATTATATACAATGTCTTCTGAGTTATTACAAATACCCGAAGAATCTGAAAGTAATAATAATAACCGGCATTGGTGTACACCTGGATCATCATTTGGAAAAAGATGGCATAGTTTTGAACAATCAACAGATAAAGATAGTGCAGGTCATTACTATACAAAATGTATATACTGTTCAAACGAAATGTCTGATAAATTTGAGAAAATGTATAATCATGTAGTAAATATGTGCACATTTATTCTCCAGAAGAATGAATGGAATATATTAATCAAACGCATTCAGAGCATATACAAACTTCTAATAATAAAAGGCAACAAAGTGATGATAATCAAATAACACAATCTCAATCACTTGTTACTTCTACAATAAAACAACAATCTTCAATTTTATCTCACTTTGAAAAACTACTTGCAAATAAACAATTGCATAAACTACATTATCTTTTATTAGATGCTATAATTTATAGCAATGTTTTATTTCGGTTTGTCAAAAATCCTTTTTTAAAAAAATTTTTAGAAGAATTACGGCCTTCTTATAAGCTTCCTTTACGAAATATGCTTGTTGAATCTATTCTTGTTAATCATTATACAGATTATTTAACAAGATTATATGATAAGCTAAATAATTCTATAAATATTACTCTTTGCATGGATAGATGGGAAGATGTGTCTAAAAATTCAATTTACAGTTTTATGGCACTAAAAAATAAAGAAGAATATGTTTTAGATATTTTAGATCTATCAAAGGAACGATATATAGCAAATAATTTACAATTAGCATTAGAAGAAGCTATAAAAAGATCAATGTTAAAATTTGATTTAATTATAGCTTTAGTTACTGATAATTCTTCAACTATAATTAAGGTTCGAAATGATTTAAAAAGCAAATATCCAAATATTATTCCTATACGATACTGCCTTCATGCATTTAATATTATTGCAAAGGATATTGCAAAACATGATAAAGCCAAATCTATAATTAAACAAAATTTAAAATAAATAAATTTTTTTACAAATTCACATTTTTGGATTGCTAAGCTTCATGAGTGACAAACTAATTCAAATATACAGCATAGTTTAACATCATTTTGTGAAACTCGCTAATATTCATTAGCAAAAATGTGTCTTGGAATTACTGCATATGAAAACGGATTCAAACACTGTGTTATTGAAAGTATTCGTTCTGATGCTCCAACTATACCTGATAATATTCAAATTATTATTAATAATAAATTTTATTTCGCTTATAATTATGAACTTCAACAAGTTTTATTACCAATTGTAAATGCAATTAAAGCTTTGGAAGCATATACTTCAATATTAGCTAATATTTTTATTCAATTAATTAATTGTAGAAATGCAATTATAAATTTAAAAAATATCGATACAAGTTTACAAAATTATACTTTTAATGCAATTAACAAACAAGCTTGATATTTTGATGATCAATCAGAAATATACTTTGTAGCTCTTTTTCTTATTCCACAATATAGACAAATTGCTGTTTCAAAAAAAACATTTCTTTATATTACTAGAAAAGCAATTCAATTAGCAAAAGATTAGAAATTTAAAAAAGAAGAAAGTATTCAATTATACGCTGATCTTACAGAATATTATAATCATAATATATTTCAAAATAATTTATATTCATAACAGCCACGAACATTTTAGAAATTAGTTACAGGAATGCCTATTTTAAAGCAATTTGCTCTTAAAATTTTTACAATCGTTCCACATGGTGCAGCTATTGAAAGATTATTTTCTTCACTTGGACTTATTAAAACAAAAACTCATAATCAAATAAATCCAAATACTCTTAAAATGGTTAGAATTATATGAACTGAATTATATACAGAAATTAAAATCAAATTAACCAATCAAAATGATCAAGAAATTTATTCAGATTTAATAAATGAAATTTATGAAATTAGTGAAACTAGTGAGCAAGATAATAGCAATGAAGGTGAAAAAAGTGATACTGATAATGTATTAAATAATTTAATTTATGATACAAACTCAAATACAATAGAAGATCTTTTTGATTTTTCTGTTTTATTATCACAAGAAGTTACTTCTACAAAATTATCAAAAAATGAAGATTGGACAGTAGAAGATATTATTATATATTAAATATATATATATAACCTATTTTATATTATTAGTTTTTTTTATACGTATTAAATATGATTTAAATATATTAATTATTTTATAAATAAAGTTATTTTATTTGTTTAAGTTTTTTTAAATTATACAAAGTTAATTTTAAGTTTTCATAATATAAACTTAAAAAATAATCTGAAAACCTGTCTTTTAATTTTATTTTTAAGGTTTTATATATAAAAGTATATAAAAATTTTATAAAACTTTATCCAAATAGTAAATATAATCAAAATTTTTTACATAAAGTAATTTATAAATTTGATTTTTTAAAAAAAAAATATTTTTGAATATGCCTATAAGCATGCCTAGGCATGCCCTAAGCTTTGTTTTATGCTCATATTGGGCATGGCTAAATTTTTTTATGCCTCCTACCCTAACTACAACACATAACAGATAACAATATAACTAAAAGAACAAGAGATGAAAGCAACAGCAACTCAATACCTAGCATAGTTTACAAGGTCACTCCAAGACTAAGGGGAAAACCCCAAAAAATGGACCACCAACAGCAGTCTCCAAAAACAAATACAGTAAACAACACCAATACTACTAAAGACTACCAACTTGATTATACTAATAGACATCCTAATAAAAAACAACAATATGAAGGCTCTTCTCGTCCATCTCCATACTCAAAAATGGCAAATCTAGCTTACCTCATCAAACACAACTATGACATCATCACACACAATTATCAAAACAACTGTGGGAAAAAATCGTAATCACGTGCTCATATATGGCTATAACAACAACAACTCAACACAACAAAACAACAACAGCTCCAACAACCCATATTAGGAAATACAACATGTCTACAACCTACTCACAACCCATGAAACACAGCAGAAACCCAATTAGATGATCTACTAACTACCAATACCTTTAGAGTACATACTGTACCTCTCTCAACAACTGCACAGCCTCTCTATAGTCAAGTAGTACAATCTAAACAAAACTAACAGGAACCGGACAAAGCTACTTTTTGGTCACAAACCACTTTAAAGATCCTACAACAAGCAACTAATAACCCATTTAATCATGAAACTTGGAACAATGATAAAATCTTAGAAGCATTAAAAAGTTTAGAAGCCATCACTCAATACACCTAATATAAAGTATCTGTACTATCTACTAACCACCCAATTCCCCCAGCAATTGAACTCAAATTCAAACATCATGACACAGCCTTCTTTCGTACCTTTACTAAACTAACTAAAGCAAAACCAACACACCAAACGGAATACAAAAATCTCTTCACCAAAGCCCTCAAAAAATATAAAGAGATGTATAATATACCTATTACTACCAAAGAAAATAGAGACCAAATCTACTCTAAACTTAGACAAAAAATTATGAACAATTACTTGAATAACTACAGCTTCATTACTAATTTACCAGCAGAAATCAGCAGAGTAATTCAATATTGTTGTGAATTTATTTAGCATAAAGAGAAACTCAACACACCAGACATAAGGGTCTGTATCAATAAAGCAATCTCAGAACTTCTACAGCCCCTTCTAGCAACACCAGACAAAATACCAAAAAGTATCTTAGACTTACTTCCCTATAATCTACTAATTGACGATCCAAGCCAAACAAGAGCTATTGTGTCTTCTTTGCACAAATTATATTCCTTCAAACAACTACTTAATATCTACTTTACTGAAAAAGAAGAGCTATCTGATGACTGCAGCGAATTACACCCTTGTCTACAAGACCTTTTTCCGATTACTAACAAAGCAGACTTTAGAAACTTAGCAGAATATAGAAGAAAACTTGCCGTATACTACTCTTTTACAAAGATTTCACCATCCTACTTCAACCTACCTGCACCAAAACCTGAGCTTCCTCTTACTTCAACCCAAAACTCTGAGAAATATTTCTAATTGCACATACACTACCCAAAAAAGAAACTGAAAAATGTATTCAACTACTCAAGCAATATCACTCTTTTCGATTTTTATCTAACGACTACTATATATCAAGACCAAAACTTCCAAACGACCTTCAAAAAATTAAAACTGAGCATATATATACTTATCTAATTATGGAAACAACAGATACTAAAAGATTCTTGGCAGAAATTAGACCAAAATACTTATTTACTCTTCCTCTCTCTACCAATATTATGGTAGCAAACCCAACAGATAAGCCAATACTACCTGAAAACCCATCTGATATCAAGGAATACAATATTATCACTTCTATAACCACGACCAAACAACTAGTTGATACCACTAGATTACTACGAGAAACTTATTACTTCTATAGAATCCCTGATAGCTGAATTGAAATATAAGATCTATCACAAAAATCAACAATCCCGAGGAGCAAGACCAACTCATAAAGCATTTAAAACAGCATAAACCAGAACTACTTTCTCTAATTCCTATTACAGAGTATGACAAATTTCAAGAAACTACTACAAAACTCAAAAAAATCTTTACTATCAACAAAATACCTCTATATCTCCTTAAGTTACCTAATCTCCCAGAATCTAGCTGGGATATATATAACAAAAGTACATAATGGCAACAAACAACAACAACTTATGTATACAACACACCTTACTACCTGACAAACTAAACATTTTTACATATAATGTATAAGGACTAAATAATAATTTAAAACTCAAACTATAATTAGAATACTGCGACAAAAAAGAAGCACATATTATAAGCATGACAGAAACTAAATTAGCAGAAACACCTACAACAAAACTAAAACTTCTCAATTCCTACTTTAAAATCTTTACCTCCAACTGCACTGCCCAAACAGCAAACAAAAGCAAAGCCAGCCTTGGTACAGCAATTGCTATATACAACTCCTTACAGCCTTATATCCACAATATACAAATAGTTCTAGCTACAGCTATAATAATGACTTCTTCTTTCCTCACTGCAACAAAACTCATATTATATCAGTCTATCCACCCTTGAATAACAAGATACTCTCTAAGGACACACAAAATAAAATTATAACTTGGATACAAGAAGCACAAAAACAAAGTATGCGACTAATAGTCATGGGCGACTTTAATAATAACATCGATAACAAAAACAGCAAAACAAATACACCTCTTATATATTACATGGTACATCACAACTTAACTAGTACACTCACCTACTTCAATATTACTGCACCGACTTGGAAAAGAGGCAATAGCAAGAGCCAAATAGACAACATCTGGATATCTACAAACAGCATACATACACTTCGACCCCACATATCCTATCATCAATACAGACAACTAACAGCGACCACAATATTATACAGATTACCTGGAATCACCAATTTAACCTT